ATGCAGATGTCAGGGATTGAATGGGACTGAGTACAGGGAAATAGGTCTGGCTACTTGTAGGCTGAGTTGGTACTGCCTATCTGGGGTGACTTGAGGAGAATCAATATTTCATTTTTCTTAACTGCTTCCCAAGCCACCTGACCTGCTACCTGAAATATCAAAATTAGAATTCAGTTTTTTTGATGTTTAGTTAAAAGTTGCCTTGCAAAACACAAGCACAGAAGAGAGCTCTTACTATCAGCTCTTAAGCCTTAAAGCAATTTATCAAATACTGATGATATTTAGGGCTGCAGGTTACAATAGGCAGGGAAGAGTATGTTTAGAGCTTGAGGCAAAGTTTAGTGTGATGCTGAAACTGAAACCTAAAGGCAGAGATCACCGAGAAAGGAGGCTAAGTAGATGTGGGTGGGGTCTGCCCACTTCAGTTTTCTCAATAGTTTTTTCAATAGTTTGACACATTTAAAGAGATGCATTATAAGTTGGATGTCAAAAATTCTTAATTTGAAGTCCTCATGTTTATCTTGTATCTTGAACTTAAAAAAAAAAGACGGCTATTTTGATCAGGCTGAATAAATACGAGTCATTTTTTTCCTGGTAGTATTGTTCTTATAAGTGGGTCAGTCAAATGTTTAGGATATGTTAAGAATTTAATGCTTCTACGGCATATAACCCCCATCTTTTCTTATTCTTTCATTTGGTTTTTATTATCTGTAAGTGAAAATTACATTTTATTTGTCTAATTCATTAATTAATTAACCATAAGCTTAGTTAATTTCATCTCCTGAGGATTAGAGGAGAATCTTTGAAGATTTGAATGAACAATCCCTCTTATGAGCTATGGTGTCTCATCAACCAACCATGGTGTTGGTCAGACAATGATTAAAATATCAAGGCTTTATCAGTGAATTTCTACACAAGATTTTTCTTCCCTCAGTATATCCTATAGCTTGCTGCCTGACCTCTATTCACATTGACGAAGAGTTGTTTAATGCTGTAGCACTGAGCCCCTCAACCTGAGTGTCCCTCTAACGTGGCACGGGGATGAATATTTTGTAAATGTCCACAGCTATTCTGACTGGGCAAAGGTCAATAATGTTAATCAAAAATGTCATACTGATAAATAGTGGAACAATTAATTTTTCTCTTCAAATTCAGAACAGAAAATGACTTTAAAACAAAAGGAGTTTAAAATTACCACCTTGTATTTTATGATATTTTAATCATTTAATGTTTTCACTGTCTTCCTGAAATTCTTTTCACTTTGCACAGTGAAGCAATTACAACTTTTTTTTACATGAGTACTTATTACCCCCCCCCATTTTTACCATCTAGTAATCACATATTCTTTATTAAGCTTTCATCACCACCACTTTTCTGACCCCTGAGTCCTTCTGTGATTTTTGTTAAGATCTGTTTTGCCATTAACACTCTATTACATTATGTTATGCCTAAGTTTGCATTTATTTTGAATTTAACTTGCTTGAGATTGGTTATGCTTCCTGAATTTTAAGAGTCCTATATCCCTTAATTACAGAAAGTTTAGAAGCATCACCCCTCTCAATATGACTCTTCCCTCATTCTCTCTTCTTCTCATTCTGAAACTCTAATTATGCTATTATACCTTATTCTGCCTGCTATTCTTTTCCTTTCATATTTTCCATTTCTTGCTTTCTCAGTTATAAATTCTGGGTAATTTACTGTTATACCTTCAATTTACGAATCCCCTTATACGTTGTGTCTAATCTACTGTTTAACCCATCTCATCCATTACGATTTTTTTAAAAATTAATATTAGTTTCAGGTATACAGCACAACGGTTAGACATTTATATAATTTATGAAATGATCCCCCACCCCCAAATACTCTAGTACCCACGTGACACTATATATTGCCTGCAATGATAACTTTTATTTAAGATTTTTAAATTGCCTATGGGATAGTGAATAATAGAGAAATATATCAATGGATGCAAATAAAAAGCACTATGGAATATTCAAGTTATTTTTTCAAAATTAATGGCAAGAGACATGATTCTTATTGAATAAAGCAAACAAAAACTAAGCTTATACTCTAGTTCCATGTTATAGGTAAATAAAGGGAGAAGGAATAGGAAGAGAGAAAAAGGAGGCCAGAATACAAATTCATCTAGAGAGTGGGCAAAAACAGGTAAGCACACCTGCTGGAGAATTCCATTTCATTGAGATTTGTTTCTGTCTGCATGTGCTTCATCTTAACCATAATTAAAATTGTGCACCAATATTATTATTGTGACTCAGGGAAATAAATATATATACCCATTGAACACAAAATATATATTACATATAAGAATATTGCATATAAGAATCTGGTTTATTGACTATATTGAATATACATATATACATACTATAAATGCCATATATATAGCATGTATGCATATATATATGTAGGTGTGTATGGTTATATATTTTTAGCTTCCTATCATATCTCAAACACCCTTTCATTCCCTTATTATGTGTATCTCATTGTCTGTCAGTCTCTATCTCCATTTATAGAGAGATGGAAGGTGAGACCATTCCAGAAAGGAAGTATGGCCCATCACTCTTCATTTGGTTATGGGATTTCAACTCTTAAAATGCCTGATGGTTGATAAAAGATTCACATCATTCTTTAACTGACCTGATCTCTAAGCCCTCAGAGGCTTTGCTCTGAATGCATGATGAGTATAGCTCATCAAGTGAGAAATTATTCTCTGGGTTACAGCAGCAGTGACCAGAATAATTTCATCCCAAGGGCAAGATGAAACCAAGTCAAGGGCCAGAGATTTCCTCCAACCATTTTTGCTCAGCATTAATGTTGATGCTATTTTCAGTGACAGAAGACAGCAAATTCATCACTCAAACATTGCTCCAGTGGGAAAGATAACTGAAAGGAACATAAGGGTTAGGCGGCGTAGAAAGTTCATCAGCATAGATTTGTCTATTTTAGTAATTCTGTCAGGTGAAATATTTTTAAGACCCTCTTACTGAAAGTCTTTCTCGAAGACATTTATCCCATCTAGCCTCTCAGGAAGAAGATCATAAGGGCTACTTGGTCATTTAAAGTGTGGAAGGACTCAGGGCAGCCACATTAAACATTAGTACTTGCCATATGAGATGTAAGAACAGAGAGACTGATACTCCACTGATCCCAGGGTTGGCTTGATATTGTCTTTTAAAATAAATTTCTGGTTTCCTTTATATAAAAGTTACATGACTAAGAATTTTGGTTTATTTGGGAGGAATTGGTCAGCTGGATTCTGGTTACCATTCAGTTCCTAACCAGGTTCTCAAGTGACACATGATAGAATCATCGTAAGAACCCTGTGTCATTTCACACAGGAGTCTGAAGACAAGTTATTCCAAAGGTGCTTAAGCTGTAATAATAATTAATATTGGCAATTAAAGATAATACTTAAGAAACCAAGATTTATTTATAAACTAAGGTTTATATTATTAGTTTATATATAAGCAGGAAACATCACTAATTATATATCAAGATATAAAGTTGCAACCTTTCCTTAAATAAAAGTGCTTCTCATCTGGTTTTAAGTTTTATCCCTAGTAGATTCGTATCTGGCCCACATTCCCTTACTCCCTTGTCAAGGCCTTAATTGCACTTTCATCTTAGGCCCTTGGCTTTCAGCTAAAAATCATTAAAAGAAGACTTCTAGTGAATTTGTTATAATTATTGTTCTCTAAAATTATTATTGCTTATAAAAAATGCTATAAGTAAACTGTCTTTTAGAATTTAGTTCCATAACAAATTTTGTTTTCCTTAGAGTAATAGCATGCATCTCTCTTTTTAGGTCACTATTGTGTAGTTTATGATGTTCCTAGATGTCAGGAAATTCAGAAACAAATCTGATGAACCATCAAAGAGGTTAAGCGTATTTATTTTTCCTTCTTTTTTGGTCAAAATTTCCTATTTTTGTTTTGTTTACTTGAATGTGTCTTTTCTAGGTATTCTTCATATCATTTTAGAAATAAAGCAGGGTCTAAACAGAGTTAATAAAAAGAATTAAAATGACAGAATAAGAGAAGAAAATGTTACATATTATGGGATCAGTTTTAAAAAATGAGGGCTGAAGAAAGCATACCTGAGTTCTTTAGTTCCTCACTGCTAAATTGATAGAGGAGGTCATACACGCCCCCGAGGGAGCCAGAGGTGAAATAGTGAGTCCCAAAGTCATCAAATATCCGGCTATACAGAGCATAGTTGTACTCTAGAGGCAGATGGTTAAGTGATTTCAAAAAGACATCAGAAAGCTGCAGATCTTTACTTTTCATTGTGAAGTTTAAGACTTTTATCGCTTTATGGATCCTAATAAAACTAGAATCCTAAATGCAAGAGGAAAAAGGAATTAAAAAAAGGTTGATTAAAGGTAGTGAAAGCTTAAGGTATCAAGCGCTTAAATGTCATCTATTTATCATTAGCTTCATTCCAACCTACTATTGCAACAATTTTAACTCTCTATTGCATGTTCTCACATACAAAATTATAATTTTTATTTTATTTTCTAATACCTTTTCCTGAGTTGTTCAAAGTGCTAAATAGATAAGATTATCTCAATAATGTAAACTGTGTGACTAAGGTATATATTCTCTATCAAAAAGAGATCAATTTTCAGAAAAGTAAATCTTTTTCTCTCGACTGCCAATTATGGCTACATTTCTACTGAGTTTTTATTTAGAAAGCCTTGCTATTGCGAATAATTGAAAATGGATTGTGCAAATTTTTAATTGAAAATTGTGTAACTTAGATTTAGGTCATAGCTTTGTCACTAACTGGGAAAAAAAATCATCTAAATTCTCTAGGCCTCGATTTGTGAAATGTCACCTGTGTACAGATGAGGGCTGTGTAATGGGTGACATTTCGCACCTCTTTTAACATAGTATCAAACAAAATGCTATGATTTAAAATTACTTAGAGGGTAAAATTAACCAAAATTATTTATATTCTCTCTCCTCCACCCATAAGCAAGAATATTTGTTGGAAGATTTTTAAAAATTGTTTCTTGCTATGCTAGGTTATTTTAGGATTAGATGCTTTTATGCCTAAATCTCATTTCATGAAATTGTCCTACATAGCCACTGAGTTTTATAAGTATATCCATGTAACTGTTCTTTAAAAAAATTTTATATGCTTTATCCGATCTCTCAATTTTAGCAAACTGCAATGTTTAAGTAATAGAAACAGAGGAGCATATTTTAGCAAAAGAACTTTTTTATAGCTGTAAATCATTAACTAGCTATCACCCTGTATGCTATAATTATGGCACAAAATTACTGCTAAAACAAAAGGAAAACAATAATCACAAGGGTTGAAAAGAGTCATCATTCACCCTCTCTCCCTCTTTCTTTGTCTTTCTTATTTCCTCTCTCTTTCTCTCCCTCCTTTCTATTTACCTTTTGTCTTCAATACATTTATTGCTCAACTATCTCAGGTGCTGTAAACACAGCAGTGAACAAGGCAGACAAAGTTCATGCCTTTGTGGAGTTTACATTTTAAGTGTCCATTAACTCTATTTTTAAGTTCAATACTTGAATTTTGTCGTAGAACCATGGCTTTTGTTGGAGGAGCATTGTGCTTTTAATAAGAAATATAATTACTCCCTGAGTATCTGAAATGCCTGTATAGACATGGAGGTTGAAATGGGTGGTTTGAAATTTCCAGATTGCTTTTAAAACTAAGTTGTGAAAAATACAAATAAAATTTTGGCAATTCAGCTTAGCACAAGTACCTCCATGATGTTCCACTTGTCAGTGCACGATGGCTGAAATTGGCTATTTCACACTAAAAAATTACATGACAGTAGGTTATTAACCATGTATGACTTATTTTAACATTCCATGAGAACTTGCTTTAATTAACCACCTTTTTGTGGGTTCAATTTTGTAAACAAAATCAGAAAAGCACTGAATCTTACTGAGAAGACTGATGTTTTGACTTTGAAACAGACTGTGTGCCCAATGAATATATTTAGTTAGATTGTGATTGACAAAATTAACAAATAAAGCATTAAGCTTCGTTGATGGGCTTGGATTGATTTTCAAATCTGTGGTACCTTGTTTTCAATATTTGAAGACTAAGAAAGTTTACAGTAGCACTTTCTCTTTGGACTGAGATTTTTCTTATTATGTTCAGATTTAATAAAAAAACAACAGTCATGGTATTGGGTCGAACCATATGAAGTTAACAATTTTGTAAGTCAAAATGATTGACCACTAGTCTATTGTCCAGAGGGGAGCGGGGAGGTGGGAGGGGGAAGTAGATGGGGTAAAGGGTGTCAAATATGTGGTGACAGAAAAAAATCTGACTATGGGAGGTGAACACACAATGTAAATATATGTATATGCCTTACTTTTAAAGTGTACAGCGGAAACTTATTGGATTTCATTAACCAATGTCGCCAGAAAAAAAAAATTAATTAAAAAAAATGGTTGAATGTCAGAAGTTTTACATGTTTCAGTCTAATACTGTGAATAGCCTTAAATGCTTTCACTTTAGGACAAACTATTAGAGGATCAAAAAAAGCTGTTTACCTACAGATAAGGGTTCTACAAGTGTTTTCCAGTATGTCTGAAACATTTATAAACCAATTTATAAATCAAGCAGATCTTAGTGTCGAGAATGATATATACATTCATACATACTTATGTATGTACATACATACATACATACATACGTACATACGTACCTTGAACAACACAGGTTTTAACTGCACAGCTCCACTTATACGCAGACCAAACATGATATCAGAGGGAGCCGGGGGACTTAAAAAAAATGAAGCCAGAATCATGTGCCCAACTCTGGAAATTAAGGAAAAGACCTGGGGATGGACGTGGTGGTGATTGATGATGTAGTTTTACTTCCTAGTATTTCTGATACTAACTTGTCTTAAGAATATAATTTGGTAAATTTGAGGGACACTAAATGAACCATAACAATTCAAACTGAATAAGCAATCTTTGTTTAAAAGGAATCTATTTTATTCTCATGTTTTCATATGTTCATATCATCAGAGCTGTACTCTTTTCACAGTTTGTTGAAATTATGAATAATTGAATGAATAAGCAAATAGCTTAAAGTGTAACGTAGTAGATAAGAATAGTAGACAAAAGTCAGAAAAACTGATTTCAGTCCTCAACTCTAGCATTTACTCACTGTAACATCACAGGAGCCACTTAGCTTCTCGGACTTTAGTGTCATGCCTGACACATTAGGTATTTGACAAATGTGTGTTGAATTGAAAATAAATATATGGACTATTTATGTGCAAAACAGTATAAAAACTATCTACTCTGATTACTTCTTAAGTTTCTTTTGAAAATAAATGAAATACTTAGGAAATTTATCTATATAGTGCTATACGGTCTCATATTTATATGTGTATGAATAAATTAATATATAAAAATGTGAGGGGCATTATGGTAAAAGCAGGAGCCCTAAAATGGTGCCCTCCAGGTGTTGGTCTCATTGTTTCCAGCATTGGTATCTCTACTCTTTTCACTTCTCCTCTGAAAATCTATGATTCAAGACTCAGTCCTCCCATTCATCTCTTTGCAAGGAACAAATACTACTTAGAGTGACAGTTGTAGTGAGGAACAGATACTATTTTAAAATAAACCTGTAAATGTTTAAAAATATCTGATGGAAAATTTAACCCCTAAAGCGTTTAAGAGTTGGAAGGCATATCCAGGAGATTTAACTTGCAAATATAAGGAGAAAAAGGAATAGATGAAGAAAGATTAATGGATAAAGATGTATCTTTACATATTAAAAGAGTTTCATAATTCCCTGGCAAGATTAATGGAAACAATCCAACACTTAAACATAACCTAAATTCTAAGCATAAAAAAATTATAAATTTCCAGACAAAACAAAACAAAAAAAATCAGCTTTATATGAAACAATGGAAATTAGGAAACAGTGGAATATAACATCTACTGACCATCAAGAGAAGAAGACTAATATCCAAGATTCCATATCAGCCAAGATATTCTTTACCCTTATTGCTCAGGGAAAATGTAGGCATTTTTAGATACACTATAAGAATTTAGGAAATATATTTTGCATGCATCCTACCTGAGGTAAATACTAAAAATATGACAATTAAATGAGACAAGAAAGGGAAGATGAGAGGAGAGAAAATGGTGATGAGTAAATAGAAAATATACATATGTGCGCACACACATATACATGCAAATACATATGTAAAATACAAAAAAAATTTTTAACTTGGAATTTAGAAGTGTTATGTGAGGAATCTTTAAATAGAGAAGACAAGAGTCAGAATAAAATACAGATGAACATATCTAACATAAAAGCAAATATAAAACAATCTTTATGGAACACAAAGGCTTTGAACTATCTCAACAAAATTGAGGTTTTGGAGGCCTGTGATGATAGTGGTGGGGGAGTAGAGAGCATGTGTTTTCTCAAGGAGATAGTGAAAATGGGATGTGGAGAATAGATAAGTAAAAAAATCTCTTTTGAGGGAGGCTATAGATATTATGTAATGTGATACAGAAAAACATAGATATAATTATGCTCTATGACTAGAGAAAGGTAACTAGAAGGAGAATTTGAAATTTTAGTAGAACTTCTAAAATGACCAAAAGGATGAGAAGGGTAGATAGAAATATGATAAAGATAGCAAAAGTGAAAAAATAGGAAACAGCAACCAAGTGAAATGAGTAAGAAAAATTAAAGATAGGAGAAAAATGGTCAAGTATTTCAGTGAGTATACTAAACATAAGTTGACTAAATTTTCCTAGCAAAGACCTGAGACTGTTAGATTACATTTAAAAAGCAATGTTCTGTTACATGTGGTTCATAAGAAATATGTACACCTAAAACAATAAGATAAAGAAATCAAAACAACCATAAACACAGTTAAATGCATGCAGAACGGAAGCATCATTAGACATATTATGTCTATAAATTTTGAAGTGGGATAAAACAACAACAACAAAAACCCTAAAGGTATTTAAATAGGAATTAGAAATCCTGACCTGAGATCAAAACTCTCCCCTTCTTGTTGCATGACTGCTGGAACTGGTATTAATTTTCAGAAAAGCGTAAAAAGATCAGGAACCATTTTTATTACCTTTTTGTGGGAGGCTTCAATGGCTTGTTTGAAGGCAGAATTATGGTTAAAGGAGTGACTGCTCGATGAGGAATAAAAAATTAACCCATGACGATGGTTCTGTTGGCCCATATCTAAACTGTGTTCATCTTTATTCTCTTTAAAAGGAATCAAATCCTTAAAAAAATCTGTTTCCAGTTCATCTTCTTTAGTTTCTACCTGGAAAAAAATCCATATGAAATAAAACAGAATTTACGAAATACTGGAGTTACTCGTGAAGATCTAATGCAATGATCATTCATTTATAAATTCAGTAAATGCTTATTGAGGACCCATTTTGCTAGCGAACAAGGAATAATGTAAATTCCTGCACTCAGAGAGTCAACAATTTAGTTAGAGAGAAAGATAATCACAGACACTTAATTCAATCTGTGATGTTTTGTGCTTCCAATGGAATTGCCACAAATAACTGTAAAACCCAGAGAGACAATACCAAGAAAGTCTAGCTCAAGGAAATGACTCCTAAGCTGAGACTTAATGGGGTAATAAACAGCAAGGACTATTTTCAGTCTGCCTGTGAATTTGATGCAGTTTGCAATCTAATTTAAGATATAGTTCAGAAAATTAAGGCCTAGAAAAGGAGAAGAAAGTCCTATCTGACCCTACTCTGAAACCATCTTCATCCCTTCAGCTTATTCAGTATTGGGCATCAGCACTCTACTGGCCATGTCTGCAAGGCAGAAGCAAATAGTCAATTGATTCTGCCTTGTGGGTGGTTATTAGTCTTCACTGACTTGGTCTAGGAAGAAGAGAAAATGCCATTGAGACGTGACTTGAGTTGAGTGGAGCCAGATTTAAGTACAAGGTAAATCCTTGTTATGGTTATGCTAGTAAGAAGAGAACAATGGACAAATTTTTTAAAAGTTGCAAAGCAATTGATTGAAGAGTACTTCTTTATGTTAAAGATGCTTATCCGGTTTGCAATGGAAAAATCTTTTTGTTTTAAAATATTCAGTATTAAAATATACCGCGAGGCAAACCACATGTCACAATTAAATAGCTTGCACAATTAGTCAAGCAAAGACAAAATAATCCAGCCGCAAAAGAATCTTTCTCAACAGTAAAATACAGTCAAAAGTTTAGTGTTACTTTTAGATATTGCAGTGCATGCTAGTTAGCTTTTAAAATATCTACGAATAAGTTAACAATGAAGCGATACAATCATATTTAAATATAGTTGCTGAAATTTCTTTACTACTTTTCTAAAAAACTCAAACTACAAATATTTTGCTTTATGAATTAGCTCTCACACAAGAAAAGATGTGTCAGCTTACAGAAAAATATATTAACATGTAAGGAAGGGGGTTTGGGTATCCTGAGCAGAAAAGCTCAGAGAAAAATCTGACCATGTACATTAGAGGGCAGGTTTACAGGTGAGCAGTGCTTAAAAATTAGATTGAACTGGGAAACTGGGGCCAAGCCTTGTAGGCCCTGCTAAAAGATTTGGATTGAATTCTAAAAGCAAGCTTTTCTATATAATAAGTTCTTTAAAAATATTAATTAAATGAATGAAAAATTGGGGATGTTACCATCACATTTGTGTTTTGCAAAGATCACGTGAACTATTGCTGCACAACTCAGAGAAATTTCTTTATCTTCAATGAGCTTAAATCTTCTATGAGTAAAGTGGGTATAAATAATTTTCTACTTTCTGGGAAGGTCGTTCTAGGAATTGAGAAAACAGTATGTGCAAGTACTTTGAAAACTCTAAAGTATCTTATAAGTGTGAAATGTTATCCAAGCCCAAATATGCCCTAATTTCAAGAAAGGTTAAGCTTTCTTGCTTGTAAAATTGCATGAAATAGATGCTTGCTGATAATACAGGCAGTATGTTTTTATGTTTGGAAATTATTAAATTCTGAAAATAAATTTATGGGTTGGTGGCTTAGGACCTAGAAAGCATCCTCCAACAGAACAATATTATATGTAAATATCTGGGTTTTTGCTCTGTCTACAAAGCCTATTCAATACATCTTAAGAGTAGTAACATCGTTGACAGAATTTTTGTTCCTTTGGAATGTCTCTTCTGAGTTCCTATTTAACATAGCAGCAAAACTTTTCCCACCCTCTTTGGTGGTGGTGGAACCTCTGGCATTAGCATCTTCTGGATCTGTGGGGAAATAGTGGGTAATGCCTTTATCTGGTCAGAGGTCACTTGTTACTCTTGTCACTTCTATCTCCTGGCAGGGATGGGGTTTCTTAGGGTATGTCTCCCAAAATGAATTTGAATTTGGCAGTTGGAGCCTAAGGACATTTTCTACACCCATTAATATATATATAGGTGGTGTTAAATTGAGTTTATATCAAATTGGAAAATGCTTGTATTTGTATATTTATAAAAGTTTTTTTTTAAATGAAGTATCGAATGACTTTTGTTGAACTCATACTATTCATCATGTGGTCTCAGAAATCATTAGACCTTATGAAATTCTCTCTAGCATGTCAAATTTTATGTATAGATATTACCATTAAAATTATGTCTTTTCTGTTTTTCTTATCATAAATTAAAAGAAATAGATTGTTTACTTTAGTTCAATGAGTATGGAGCAATTATCATATGTAAGGAACTGGGCTAGATTCTGGGAGTATGTAGTGTGCTGCTCATTACCACTGAGGAAAACAAACAGAAAACCAAATCAACTAATAGGAATGAAGGTAGGCAGAACTATCCCTATTATACTTAGGTTCATCCTGACTTTTTAGAAGCCAGGCACTGCCTTATGTCTAAATTTAGTGGTTACCTGAGAAAACTAGCAATGGTAGGAGAAACTTCTGAATAAATCAAACCATTTTTTTTTTTTTTTAATGTATGTGGGGATATGTTACAGCTTTATGTTCATTGAAGAAAGCATGGACTCTGGAGTTTGGGAAACCTGGGCTCAAGTCTCTTGCTACTTACTAGCTGTTTGACTTTGGGCAAATTAATTACCTTAGTTTTTTCATCTCTAAATTGATGATAATGACATTGATTTCATTGGGTTTTGGGAAGATTAAATACCAACACATAATAGGTAATTAAAAATGTTCATTACCACACAATACAATATATATATATGACTTACTGTTGAAGTATACACTTGAAACTTATTGGATTTTGTCCCCCAACATCACCATGATAAACAAAAATAAATAAATAAATAAATAAATAGATAGGTAAATAAACGAACAAATAAATAAATAAATGAAAGCTAAATGGCATACTAAAGAAAAAAGTCATTATCTTCTTATTCTGTCCCTTCATTCATCACTAATTTTTCATTGGAAATTTAGCTTATAATCACCATTGACATTGGAATGCTGCCATGATAGGCTGTCATACCTCAAAGTTGACATTTTCCAGATTGGCTGAAACACGGTATGGATTACTTTCTCTAACGCTTTTGGCAGTTTTACATATTCCTCCAGTGAAAGAGCTATCAAGGACTTCTCCTTTGGGCTCTCCTGCCAATATATGAAACCTAGAAATAAAGTAATATTCAAGAATTCAATAGATATAGAGCAATCTTTAAAATTTACCTTACTTATATGAAATTCCTCTCTTAGACATTTTTGATTCATGACAAATGACTTGAAGGAAAGCCTGTTTTCTTCTAGCCTATGAGGAAGTATCCAGAAAGGGCTAGAAGCCAAAACTCAGCCCCTCTGTCTCTGTTAGTTCTTTTTATTACACTCATTTAGTCATTCTGGGCTTTCAACATGAAATTCAGGTTTAGAATTATTTTGCAGCTTACAAAAAACAGCACAAACTTTGGGAAGTAGATTATGAAATAAATTATTATATAATAACTAATGCCATTCTAGGTCCACTTCCTTCAATATGATACAGCAAAGGAATTGTTATAGAGAGCTAATGATGAATAGCAATATTTTAATAAAATCGTAATATTATTATTTTTATTAACAGCTAATAATAAATCATTTAAAATTTATTTAATAGATGCTTACATACTATTTACTATAAGTCAAGCACTGTTTGTTCTATATTTAATATTAACATTATATTTATTGACTATTATGATAACCACGTGATATAGAAATAATTATTAGACCCATTTTAGAAATGAGGAAATTGAAACATATACAGATTAATTAGCTTAGCACAAAGTAAGTATTTAAGAAATTGTTTTGTGGTAGATGAAAAACTCTTTCAAGATGATAATAGTTTTCCAAATTCTTATAGATATTAACATGTATCCTGAGGAAAAAAAGTTTTGCGTCAATAGGTTTGATAATGAGGAGATAATAGAAAATATAGATAATGGTCTTTGCCCGCAGTTCCTGGCACAGAGCTACTAAGACTTTTGTAATCTCCTGAGTAATAAAAACACTAAGAGCATTTTTTGTTTTAATATTTGGTCTTTGATTCTGGTTTCTGGCACAGGGCTCCTAAATCTCTTGGAATTTTCTGGGTAATAGCTGTGTCTTTTTTTCTTTTTTAAAAATTATTGATTTTTTAATTACAGTTGACATACAATCTTATATTAGCTTCAGGTGTACCATATAGAGATTATACATTTATATGCCTTACAAAGTGATCACCCCAATAAGTCTAGTACCCATATGTGCAGTGTCCTTTTCTCTAACGAATTGACTGTTGGTGGGCTCCTGGGCGGGGATTGGTCACCAGAAATAGCCTTGATTTTGAGCTTGGAATTTTCAACCCCACTCTCCATTCTACGGAGAGGGGAGAGGGGCCAGAAATAGAATTAATGATGGATCATGCCTACATGATGAAGCCTCGAAAAAATCCCCAAAGTACAGCTCTCAGGTTGGTGAACACGTGGAGGTACTGACTGTTCAGGAAGAGCATGGAAGAACATGGAAGCTCGGAGCCCCTTCCCACATACCCTGCCCTACTCATCTCTCTCAACTGGATATTCATCTGCATCCTTTATCACACCCTTTTATAATAAGCTGGTAAATAGTACATTGTTTTACTGGGTTCTGTGAGACCCTTTAGCAAATAACTCAAACTTGAGGATGGGCGTTGGTGGGAGCCTCCAAATGTATCAGAAGCACGAGTGAAGTGGCATCTGAAGTGGATGGGGCAGTCTTGTGGGACTGAATCTTTAACCTATGGCATCTGACACTATATCTAAGTAGATGGTACCAGAATTGAGTTAAATTGTAGCACATTTCGCTGGTGTTGCAGAGAAATGTTCAGTGCGGGGGAAAATCCCCACACATTTGGTGTCAGAAGTGCTGTGAGTGTGGTAATAGTGCAAGAGTAACAGGTACACAGAAGAACTGGCACGTGAGCTAGATGTCAATAAAGCTGTTAAAAAGGGAGGGCCATTCCTGTGGGTTCTATAAGATGCATCTCATACTCAAATAGCTGCGAACACAATTGGGGGTCTGTTTTCATCCATATTTGAGTTCGTATCAGTGGGTTTTTGAGGGAGGAAGTATGAGGAGCTGGTCTGGGAAGAACTTTCCAAACTATGTAAGTTAGCTTGACAAACACAGGTTTAAAACTCATTCATTTTTGTTCTCTGAGTTAAGAGAAATGAATGAGGAAAAAAGAACTGTTGACCTTACAGTGCCTTATGCTATGTACTTACGAGTTTATCACAAACAACAAAGGGCTTAAGAAAAATGGTTCCCAGGTCCTGAGGACGTCGTGAAGGCAGCAGTTGCTTGCAGAGAGCCAGAAGATAAGATTTTCACCAGGTTGCTCTCTGGGCATGCTGGAGGAACCTTTTAGGACTTAGGTCAACTACACAGAAATTTTCAGCCTTATTTTCTTTCTTTCTCTTTGTAGTATTTAAATTGACTTTAAATAGTTTGGTGTTTCAAATACATCATGGATTTTAATATAATAGGTTTCTGAAGGGCTTTTATCTAATTTGGTTTAATGTGTCATCTTTTGTAATTTTCTAATTTAATTAACATTAATATATACATATATAAATATACATGTGTGTGCATGTACATATGTGCATGTGTGTATGCATTTGTACCTTGGCTGAGCCTGAGAAAATATAAACAGCATGCTAAATTGCCTGATTCTTGCTTCATGTTTAAGACCTGGTGACTGATGTTGGCAACGTAGGAATGTTGTTTTGCCTTATTAAATCCTTTCTTGGAGAGTAAAAGAGGTACAGCCACCTAGGAAGCTACCTTTCATGGGTAAAATGTATCAGAGAGGGGGCAGAGATTCAAAGGCCAGCAGATTAGCAAGAGATTCCCATAAGCAGCTCTCAAAGCTCTCTGTCCTCGGAGAGGCAAAGGGAGGACTGGCTGTGCCGAGCCAGCAGGTTTTGCTCATTTCTGAGAATCCTTGGGACAACAGCTCCACTTGGCAGAGGGCCACACGATCCTTCTGCCAAAGTACACACAGCATGTGGTCCTCCTCATCTGTAACTCTAGATCCTAGACCAACAGAGCAAGAGGTGAGTTATAATGTCACCCCTCATCAATCAGAACATTAGAAAACATGATAATCAGTGGAAGTTTTGCCTGAAGTTTTCTTCCAGAGGAAGGAGGAGAAGGAAGCACATTGATAAGAATATGCTGTCAAAACATTGTCATTGAAATCAACTCTAATTAGGAATTTTTAGGACAGAACCTCAAATCAGTGTGTAGCCATCCAACATACATGCAGCCAGAGATGTTTAATAACTTGGTTATGATGTAGTGAGTCAGTGCAGAACTAGGTCTAGAGCCTGGCTCTCCTTACTTCCAGAATAATGGCTGTTCCATTTTACTATGTCCTTGAATTTGGTTCAATGCTTCTGGTTTCCATTCTAATCAAATGAGGTTGTATTTGCAACCGATGCTGTTTGTTTTTGGTGCCTCAAGGCTTCATATTATGCAAGTTTGGCAGTATAAGTGAAGACTTAAAAATAGTTGAATATGAAGCAATAAAAGCCTATAGCAAACTATTTGCCTTCTGGCCAAAAATCGAAGAGAACAGAACAATACAGGAGATTATCTTTACTGATTTTTCTTATGCTTCAAACTAAAGCTTAGTTCTGTTTCTATTGACTTCCTTTACATTTTCTAAAGTTTTCTAAGTCATTGGTTCAGTATAATGAATTTAGAATCCCTTGACAAACCTCCAGTCCCCTCATGATTTGAAATAGGAACATTAGAATTTCTGAGCAACTATTCAAAGATTGGGAGGAGGGTTGTGTGGGCTCCTGAGGTTCCTTTCAATATATTCCCCTTTTTAAGGTTGTTATTGTCTAGAATAAGCATGAAACGGTAAAAATAACCTCAGTTTTGAAGTCTGTTTTTGAATCCTGGTTTAACCATTTACTGATTGGTAGACTTGGACAGGATATGGCATTTTCTCAGGCTGTTTCTTGGTTTGTAAGTTGAACAGGAACCAGATGGTAATGCAAGTCTGATCTTCTGCCTTTAAACTGTACTGACCTTCCATGCATCATATAGTCTAGGTAGGAGGAAGTTTTGAATACCCTAGTCATGATCATTTCACTTCTAACTCTTTTAACTTTTTCACTTCATTGCTTTTTCTGTTTGTGAAACTCTCTTCTGGCTTTGTCTCCCATTGTTGACCCATGGCTTGACTCTTAGACTGAAAGACTGGTTTTGCTTTTCCAGTGTTTTGACTTTCAACACACACATTCAGGCATGCTTTTCTGATACCTTCCTCATCTATTTGTTCCTGGAATTTCTGAGTGGTTACTCTCCCACCCCAAGCCCCCAGGAATCCATCCTGGGACCTTCCAGCTTGGCTGGCCTCCTACCAGTTTTCCCTGATTCACTCCAGATCTATCAGAAGGTTAGATGAGAATTAAAACAGTTACGAGGGGCCTATAACATTGTTTTGTACAAAGCAAATGTGAAACTGCTAAATTATTTTATTCCCTAGGAGTGAGGATCTTGGCCACATGCTTGCTGAGAATCGTAGCCAAGTGCCAGAGACAGGGCTGGTGGGAGTAATAAGAAGTTAATGAGGAAGGTGGACAATGATGTGTCTTATTGCTTCATTGCTGCATGTTCTGAGATGCCTTTATTCCCCCAAATGATAAAAAGATGTTACATACCCATTGCCCATCATATGTACATTAGGGATGGGATTATATTTCTGTGGGCATATTGCTTTTGTACGCCCACAATTCCTTTCATCTGAATTGTCTCCACAGTCATTTTCTCCATTGCATTCTAACTTGCTGGCAATGCAGCGGCCTAGTCAAGAAAAGCAAACGACAACATTGACAACAAATAATCATTTAAGACTGTATATATTAATTTTAATCATTAGTGCTTAAATTTCAAGGAAAAGTTAAGAGCAAGTTTTCATTGTTTTTTTTTAAACTGACTCATTCAAGATCATGCTTTTTAAAAATTAAAAAAAATTTTCAGTTACATGCAACATTCAATATTATATTAGTTTCAGGTGTAGAGCATAGTGGTTAGACATTTACATAACTTATGAAGTGATCTGTCTGATAAGTCTAGTACCTACCTAAGTTTTCATTATTTTTGATAAAGATTTAAGAACATATGGAAATTGAATGATAAATTGATATTTTCTCTTATTTTTTTAGAATTAAAAGCATCACCATAGATTATTTAGGGTGATTGCTTTAAATAAGAGAATTAATTCTATAATCCCATTCCCATTATAGTGAACTTTCTGCAGAAACATGTTCTGTAAGATAAAATGATAAAAATGGGTTCAGAATTTTGTTTTGATCCAAGATACCACACTCAAGGTCACTGTTTTTACTCAAAAAACTATAATTTTACACACTCACTCACTCACACACACACATACATCAACTAGTACATATAGTAACATGGCTGAATCTCAAAAATTTTGTGTTGGGCGAAAGATGTGAGACACAAGAGTCATGTCATGATTTCTTTGTGTAATGTTCAAGAACAAATAGAGGGATTAACTGGAAAGGGGAGAAAAGGAACTTCTTTGGGTTTATGGAAATTTTCTATATCTCGATTGGGAGTTGTCTACATGGATGTATACATTTGTCAAAATAAAATTTTGCACTTATCTGTGCATTTTACTGTATATATAATTATTTTACTATACGTAATTACTACATATTTTATTATATATTCACTATATATAATTGTTTAACTACATATAATTTACTATACCTAATTATTTTTTGGACAAATTAAATGCCTACATGCTGCAGTATTAGTAGCAGGTTAAGTGACCAAATATAGAAAATAGTACAAACTTGGTGTACTCAGATGATTCCCTTCTCTTTTAAACTTGTAGAATTTCATAAAGATCCTTAGAATCAGTAAGTGTATATTACAGAAATTGAAATGCCTCATGCACAATGACAGCCCTTCTCCTGTCCCTCACCCTCTTGCCTGCAATCAGGGGTGCTGGTGTCCCACCATTCTGTACAGGTCTTACTGAGAGTGATTAAATGTTTTACTCAAGGTTATCTGGTTAACTATTTTAGGTGGTGATCAGCATTTCACTATAGCTGTACAAGATTATTTTGACTAATTGAAATGCTTGGGGGAAATTGGATATTCTGTTGAAGAATTTTTTTATTAATAGTTTCCCAGAAAGCACTTAGTTTCCACGGTTTTGGTTAACAATCTTCAGTAAGAAGGTAGAGTGTAATGAAAGTAATTAAGTCCTCCTTTGATTATTCAAACTCTTGCATTATATCTAGACCATTATTATAAAGAATTATAGTTATGAGCCCTGGAATTGTACAAGACTGAAAATACAGAGGGAATTGAATTTCTGTTAATCTCAGGACATAACCTGAAAGATGCTCTGTTTTTAAAAGAGCATGCCTCTAGTTTTTTGTTTATTTCTTTTTTTTCAGGCAAGAATGAAATGGATCATTTAGTTTGAAATAGACATGTTTTTACTAAAAAAAACAAAACAAAACTCGAATATTACATTTTTAAATACGTTTTGAACCTGTCACAAATTTCAGCAAAAGCTAATTTTTGATATAATTACACTAATTATTTTATTTTATTTTATCAAATAAAGGTAGGGATACACATGCAGGATACAGTTCTCATTAGCTCAGCTTTGTGAGCAGGGTATCAGATTGGCTAGGATACGAGACAGTCTATCCATTTGGTACATCTAGGCATAATGGAGAAGAACTATTAGCAAGGGTAGGGATGAAAGCAAGGGGACATATCTTAAGTAATATTTAGGAAA